GTCATTGCCTCGCAGTTTTTGGGTAGCAAGAAGTAACTGCAGTGTTGCCTTTCGGAGTCCCATGGTTGATAATGTGGAGAAAAATGATAAATGGGATGAATAGATCGAGTTTCTATTCTGATATATCGTGACAAAAAATGCCTAATGTGAGATTATCCTGGGCTTATCTTGAGGGAACCAGACCCGCATACTTATTCTTCCCTCCTCTTTTTGTTTTTATTTTTTTTATTCCCCTTTCAGGTTCATGGAATATTGAAGGAACTGGTTCAGAAATCAATTAGTGAGACTGTGGTAAGTCCAACTATTTTCTATTCAGTGTCAACATGTTAATTTCACTATATATGGATGAAAGGTATGGTAATTAGCACAAAACTTCCACGTCCTTAACTTTCATTTTTGGCATTTTCACAACTATTTTCACCTTTTATTGTGAAAAAGGTTATTTTCATTTAATTTCTCAATAAAAAAAATGTAAAATGACAAATATACCATCCTATTTAAATAAAACAAAAAAAGAAAAATTAAAGAACAAATTGTAATTATATTCCAAAACTTTTTAAAAACTGCAAATGAGTTTAAATAAATTATTGAAAAGGTAATTAACACAAAAACGTCTCTACCTTTCAATATTATTGTTCAGAACTTTTCTACTTCTTTGGTATTTTTTACCTTTATTTTCACATTGCATTGCGAAAATCATCATTTCTATTCATTTTCTCAATAAAAAGCTGTAAAACTATTTAATTAAAAGAAAAATAAAAAAAATTAAAGAACAAATTGCAATTATATTCCCAAATTTCTTGTACTTTTTTGAAAAATTTGGCAGTATAATTGTAATTTGTTCTTTATTTTTTTTTATTTAAATAGGAGGATATATTCGTCATTTTATAGTTTTTTATTGAGAAAATGGATGAAAATGATAATTTTCGCAATGTAATGTGAAAATGCCCAAAAAATGAAAGGAAGGGAAGTTTTGCAAAATAATATTGAAAGGTAGGGGCATTTTGTTCTGATTACCCATTTTAATAATTTATTTGAACTAATTTGCAGTTTTTTAAAAAGTTTATAATTGCAATTTGTTTTTTAAATTTTCTTTTCTTTTTGTTTTATTTAAATAGGATGATATATTCGTCATTTTATAATTTTTTAATTGAGAAATTGGATGAAAATGACATTTTCTTCAACGAAAATACCAAAAAATGAAAGGTAAGTACGTTTTGCACAATCACATTAAAAGGTAAGGATGTTTTGCACAATAAATTAAAAGTTAAGGACATTTTGTGCTAATTACGCCACACAAAAATAATTGGAAGAAAATAGGGAAGACACTGAAGCAATGGAATTGAAGGAGAAATTATCTTGTCACATGAAATATTTCAATATTTAGTTACCCGTCAAAGACTTATGGAGGCTTGCGTTGTGTTTATTGCTGTTCAGGAGTTGAAGCAGTATCCCTCTCTTAGGGTGGAGGTTGGGCATGCAGCTATTGAATCGTTAGAGAGGATGAGGGATGAAAGCAAGAAGGCAACTCTACAGCTAGTTGAAATGGAGTGCAGTTACTTAACTGTAGATTTCTTCCGCAAGCTTCCTCAAGATATGGATAAGGGAGGAAATCCAACTCATTCATTATTCGATAGATACAATGACTCGTATCTCAGACGTATTGGTAAGTGTGTCACTTTCGGTTCCACTTCTATGATTTTAAGATAAATTATATATCTGGTAGAGGATTGGATAATATTCGACACGACAAACTACGCATGCACTATATGTTCTTATTTGCATCAAGATTACCTCCTTAATTGGTTTGTCGCTTCTTGAACAGGATCGACTGTCTTGTCTTACGTCAATATGGTTTGTGGAGGTCTGAAGAATTCCATTCCAAAGTCTATCGTTTATTGTCAAGTTCGCGAGGCAAAACGCAGCTTACTCGACCACTTCTTCGCCGAGTTGGGAAAAAGAGAGGTACGAATTTCATCTCCTATATTTTTCTCCAGCAACCCACTGAATGCAGTGAGAATATTTATAGAAGAAAGAAAAAATATAGCTGGTTTATTTATAATTAAACTGTTAATGTGGCTTTACAGGCAAATCAGTTAGGCAAACTGTTGGACGAGGATCCAGCTATTATGCAGCGACGGGTCTCTCTTGCAAAGAGACTGGAGTTATACAGAGCTGCTCAAGCTGAGATCGATTCAGTGGCATGGTCAAAATAGATGTGGAGATCTCTTTCGCTCGTTTCTGTTCTTGTTTCTTTATAGCAACACTTTTGGCTTAGTTAAGATAGGAGAGCTTTGATTCTTTTGTGTGACACTGCTTGCGTTCTGTTTATGGGTTATATTCCAAATTCTTTCTGTGGTTAGCTATGTATAATGTTATCCTCTGCGCTATTACTACTTGAATTCTAATACACAGTAGACCACTTTTTATGAATTTATACGCCTTAAAGCACACTGTATGATCCCATTACCCAATGCTGCTTTTCTGGTAATAATTATTTTCGCACTTGTGATATCAACCGTTAATTGTCAATTTTTTATTCTCAACGTTCATTTAGTTGCAGATCTTGTCTTTGCTGACCTACGTCCAAAAAATTTCTGAGGGCGGAGAAAGATTTATTTAACTCTCGTATTTCTAAATAATTGAAATAAGCAGCAAAGAAAAAAATTTGACAAAATGTTAACCCTCGCATAAATGTACAATTAGCAGAATATTTGGATGTAAAACAAAATTGTCAATTAATTGAAATTTAAGGATAAAGCTGCGATGAAAAATAGTATTGAAGGCCTTCATTTCAATTAAAATCAGATAATAAAAATTGTGACATAAATATAATCACTTTGAATATTATATTTTTTTCGTACATTAGACGAGTTAATTGTTCCAATAGTCACTAAACTTAAGTCAATGTCTTTGATTGACCATTGAAGTTTAAAATGTCGAATTTTGGTCACTGAATTTAAGTTCATGTCTTCAATTGCTCACTGAACTTAGATCTATGTCTTAGATTGATCACTGAAGTTTAAAATGTCGAGTTTTGGCCACTAAATTTTGGAATATGTCGTATATTACTCACTAGCATAACTGTTGAACTTACAGTAAGTAATGTACAATATTTTTCAAAGTTCAGTGAGTAATGTACAATATTTTTCAAAGTTCAATGATCAAAACTCGGCATTTTAAATTTTAGTGAGCAATTAAAGACATTTACCTAAATTCAGTGATTAAAACTCGACATTTTAGACTTCAGAAAGCAATCGAAGACATGGATCTAAGTTCAGTGACCTGCATTAGACATCATATTTTTTCGTGCATTAGACATCATCCAATTGCATATATTTGGAGGCTCCAAGTAGTTAGTTGATAAGTTTATTCAAAAGAGCCAATTTATTTTAATTATAACGACTGTTAACCTTAGAAATTCTCATCTTTTTTGTCCAATTCTCACGCAAGACCTTCTAAGAACAATTTTTGATATATAATAAGCAAATAAAATTCAATCAAAAGCTGGTCATGAATCATGATAGATATTACATCTTCATTCTTTTTAAACTGTTGTTCCAAGTTTTTGGCGGGAATGATAATCACCCGCCACCTCGGCCTTCATCCACCGTACTAACTTAAAGCTGTATCAATACCTTTTCACCAACTGCACCTTACAAAATTCTTGCTTTATCTTTTTCCGTCCATTCATTTCCCACGTTTCCAAATCTGAATTTCGCCAATAGAAGGAAATTCGAGATTCGGACTACTTTTTGTAATTTTGATTGTAGAATCAATTATTTTTGTTGGAGCGCAAAATCTTGATGAGGATGGCGTTGAAGTGCTTTGCAATACGGATCTCACATCATTTCTTCCTCTTCCATACGGCGATCTCCAAAATATGGTTCGTAAACCTGTTTGGAATTCATATCTTCTAAGGGTAAGTTCATGTAAATCTTTCATTCCTAATACTAATAATTTTCAATATATTACTAGTTTAATATTTATTCTCAATAAATAGAATGACATCAAACTGGGGAATGTGTTTTCTATATATATGGGATTAGATAGATGCATACCTTTCGACGGTTTTGTAGATTCAAGGCTATGAAGATACTTATAGTCGAGTCACTTTGTCCATGACCGTGTAGTGTAGAGCCTAATTATATGGTTCAACATAAATGAGCTCAAGGGGGCAGTTTTTGTTTGGAGTGACAGACAATATAACCCATTTTGGCAGATAAATTACAGAGAAGCGTGAATGTCCACTATAGACTCCTCGATTTTAATATGTAGTGAAGTAGCTCTTATATTGAGTGTGAACCATGGAAATGTTGGTGTCTCTATATATATTGTCTATTCATTATTTGCTCTCGGCTTTGGGATTAGGGCATCGATAAAAGAAATAAGCTAAAAGAAAGTGGAATTTTTGTTTGCTGATTCATGTATATTTAATATGCACAGTTGTTTATACGTTGAGAATGGCACTACAAGTTTGATGGTCCCTAGCTTGGTTGGATTGTTAGAACAATTTCATGTAACGTGGCCAAGTAATAGTATTAATAAACTAATTAAAGTAATTTATTGTTGCTAAAATTCAATTAGCCCATTGTAAAGTGGTAAATTTATAACTGTCCACTTTGATGAAAAGAGGGTAGTTTTTATGATCCATGAGAAACTAAATCCATCAAGTTAAACATTCAATTACAGAGATGAAAAGAGAGAGAAGGTTTAAATTATTCAAATTATTGCCATGTATCAATGTATGTTTATTGATTAATTAAATTAAATTTATATGTGAAAATCATGAATTCTTAAAATCTTGGTATTAGGGTTAATAACTTACATGTGGTATCAGAGCCAAGGTTATGAAATTCTTGATTTTCCTTTGAATATTATAGATTTTTTTACTTATCGATCCTTAATTATTTTTTATAGATTTATGAATTAAGGTTTGTTGATTATGATTTGTTTGCGGGAAGATCATTATCTCATTTTAAGTTTTTTTTAATGTGAGTTTGGTTCTGCTTTGAAAAGGTCAGTGCCTGTAAAGTGTTAAATAAAAAAAAAAAATGACATATACAAACTAATTAATAGACGAAAAAAGACATTGGCAGAATTGTATGTACAGTAAGTTTTTTATTGTTTTAGGCTATTAAGCATTTATTATTTTCAGATTCAGAATTAATTTGAATTATAGATTAAATTAGATTATGTTTAGTTTAATTACTTACTTTTTATGTTTTATTTATGTAACTAATGCTTGATTAATATTGTTTGTTAGTCACCAAAATGACTACACCTTATGGTATTTTGTATACTAAATTACATAATATATTTGTCAATTATTCATGATAGTTTGATGCTTATAAACGAAAATGACATTATTATTGTTACTGTCAGGAGTATCTTGACGTTCATAGATTATAAAATTGTTATGGATCGCCCAAAGGTTGATCAATTAGTTTTATTAATTTGAACATAATCGTGGTTAATTAATATACTTAGTCGGATGTATTTTGTATATCCGAAGATATGATACATGTTTGATTAGAGTATATTCAATTACCAATTGAGTGAAATTAAATTAGCATCATTACGTTTATTATGATGGTATAACGAAGTATAACCCGAAAGAGAACTATGGTATACATTTATTGTTATCTAAATCTGAATTTAAGTGTTTAAATCTAAACTCAAAGCACTAATGTTAGAGCATTTTATATTTTTACAACATTTGTTCCTGTTTCTCTACATTCGTATGTTTCATCTGTATCACTGTTCAATGGGCTCAATTTCTCTAACTAGTGTGAGCAAGTCCAGTTCAACTTAGACGTTTTGAACTTAGACTTGGCATTTCAAGTTGAGAGACCTACTGATCTCACTAATAAGAGCAGTGCTGATGAAAGATATTTCCATAAAGCTTGGGAAAGATAAAATAGATTAAGCCTAATATTTATGTGGATAACCTTAGCAAAGAATATTAAGTCTACTATTCCTAAAACTAAGATTGTTAAGGAATATATGAAGTTTGTGGAAGAACGTTTCCAAACTTGTCAGTTGTTGGCACACTGATGAGTACTTTAACCACCATGAAATTTGATGGTTCTTGTACTATGCATCAGCATGTTATTGAAATGGGTTAACATTGTAGCAAGACTCAAGACTCTTGGGATGACTGTGGATGAGAACTTTTTGGTACAGTATATTATCAATTTCTTGCCTCCTGAGTATGATCTATTCCATATGAACTGTAATACCTTAAAGGATAAATAGAATGTAAATAAATTGCATAGTATGCTCACACAAGAGAAGACAAGGCTTAAGAATCAACAAACTCATTTAGTTCATCTAGTAAGTAATTAAGGAGTTGGAAAGAAATATAAGAAAATGTTTGGAAAGGGAATTAAGCAAGGATCATTAAAGATAAATGAGTCTTCTGCCCAAATCCACAATAGGAACATAAGAAAGATACGTGCCATTTCTTTGGCAAACTTGGACACCATAAAAGGGATTGCTTGAAATGTAACTTATGGTTCGAAAGTAAATGTAAGATTATTTCTTATATATGTTTTGAATCTAATTTGGCAGAAATTCCTTATAATACTTGGTAGATTGATTCTGAATGTATTATGCAGAGATTCCTTTCAATCCAGACCATAAATCTAAATAAAAAGTTTATTCTCATGGGAAATCGAGTCATAGCTCCAGTTGAAGCCATTGGAACCTATCGTTTGATTTTAGATATTGGACATAATTTAGATTTATTTCAAATCTTTATGTACATTCCATTTCTCGCAATTTAATTTCCTTATTGAAATTTGATTCTGCTGAATATTTCTGTTATGATGGAAATAGATGTTTAAATTTGCTTAAGCAAAATCATCTTATCAGTTTCCCTATTCTTTATGATTTTTTATATAAATTATTGCTCGATAACCTCTTTGCCAAAACTCTTTTGACCTTGCGCATAATTTTGGTGCTAAACGTGGTTTAATGAATGAATGATCTGCTAACATGCGGCATAAACATTTGGGTCACATATCCAGGAAAATGATAGAAAGATTAGTAAAGAATAAAATCCTTCCCGACTTAGATTTTAGTGATCTTGAAACGTGTATGGATTGTATTAAGGGTAAACTAACCAACCACACAAAGAAACGAGCCATAAAAAGCACATAGCTTCTTAAGATAATATACACTGATATATGTGGGCCTTTCGATGTTCCATCCTTTAGTGGAGAAAGGTATTTTATCACCTTTATTAATAATTTTTCACATTATGATTATGTCTATCTGCTGCATGAAAAGTCTCAAACTGTAAATATTTTAGATATTTTTGTCAATGAATTTGAACGATAATTAGACAAAATGTGAAAATTATTAGATCTGATAAAAGTGGTGAATATTATGGAAGGTGTGATGAAACTGGACAACAGACTGGTCCATTTGCTAAATTTCTTAAAATACA